CCCCCAATAACGAGACGACACTTCGTTTTGAGGTCAAGCAGAACTGAACTAACTTTTAATCACACAACCTCTGCTTTTATGCAATGCTCCCGTGCAAGGGAGCCACCCACAATAATTAGTACATTAACCAATAAAGTACAAGGTACAACCCACACATCTCCTCCCATCAGCTTATCTGTTAACATAATTAAAATGTACATATTTTCCCCAAGTTCTAGATTTACCCCAAATACATAGGGTACACCCCTAAAGTTTTGTGGAGTTTCCTTTAGGACCACTGAAGCATGGCTTTCTAGCCCAAACCAGTTCCAACTAGCCTGGCAGTGTGCCTGGGACAACGCCCTGCTGGATTACAATTGGACAGGAAATGGGGGAGGGGTACACCTTCATATACACAATCTATACACAATCTAATAGAAGTCCATACACTGTGCTTAAAGGGCAGGTAGCCGCATAATAAAAATCCATCATGCCCAAATACTGTCTTTAAAAGGCAATACCCCCAGGGCCATAGTCACATGGCAGGAGGCAGGCCAAGCAAGCCCCATCCAAAAGCTCATGGCAAACTCTCTTAAAGGGGTGAGTTTGCTACATATCTCCCCTTTCCCATTGAGACTATCCAGACTCCAGACCTCCCAGCGGTCTGGTGCTCTGATAATCTGCCGGCCTTTCTCAAAAGGTGTAGTTGTCCAGATGGCCTCCTGCCACCTGTGCCCAGTTGTAGATCCCGGGTCTTGTGGAAAAAAAACAGGATGCCTTCTCCCCTGGTTGGACAAAGCTGTTGCTGGGGACAGCGGGTGCCGGGTGGGTTCTGCCCTGTAGTCAGCGGTTCCACTGGGTTGGTTGGTGGGTCGTCAGGCTGGGCAAAGAGGGCAGAGGCTACCTGCGCTCTGCCCAGATGCCAGCTCTTCTGCTGGGATGGGGTCAGCGAGTGCTAACCCCAGGACCAGGTTGTGGATTGGCTGTGGAGAGGAGGGACCTTTTGCCTCTTCATCCTGGCATTCCTGTGAGGGTGGATGGGGATCTGGACCAGCTGTCTCCCCTTTCAATAACATACTCAGCCGCTGGGGAGTGAGACCGGTTGTCTCCCCTCCCTGTAAGGCACTCTGCCACTGTGGAGAGTGACCGCCTGTCTCTTCTCCCAATAACTCCTGCTGCTGTTGGGAAGTGAGACTGACCGTCTCCCCTTCCAATACTATACTCCGCCGCTGGGTAGAGAGACCAGTTGTCTCCCCCGCCGGTAAGGCACTCTGCCGCTGGGGAGAGGGACCGCCTGTCCCTTCTCCCAATAACACACTTGGCTGTTCGAGATGGAGGACGACACTCTCCTCTCCCTGGGTTGCACGCTGTGGAGAGGGACCGACTGTCCCCACTCCTAACATATCCATCTGTGGTTGGCGATCTGGGCCGGCTGCCCAACATCTTTGTAGGGCCAGTGGAGAGATCCCAGTCGATAAGGTCTCCCACCTCTGGGTCTGGTTGGGGGTAGGTGGTACAGACCTCAGGTCTCCTGATGACGGGCTTAGTTGTTGGGGAGGAGGGACGAAACTCAACGCTCCCAATGGTGTACAGTCCATAAGCCCCATCAGGTTAGAAACAGGCGGTGTTACTGCATCAAATAAAAGGGCATAATCCTGTTCGAATTCCAACAGCTCTGGTGGTACCTGTAGGGTATAGTGGAGTTGATCAGGTGCTGGTAGTCCTGCTCCAGTTCCCATTCCTGGACAGCCAATTCAATCAGGTCTGGCCTTTAAGTGGGCAGGCGTGATTATGTGTGAGGTCGTTGGTGTCGGGTTAGAATTTGTGCTGTTACCCGGGGTTGGGGTTGTCTGTGGAAGTGTGTCTGGGATGGCTGCCGGGGTGATAATGGCAACTTGGTTCTCTGATTTCTCCAGTCTCTCATTAATGAGGTTAACGGATGGTAGCCTGGATTCCTGACGTGTTTCCGTTGTTTCCCTCTGTGCTAGTTCCCGGTCGAGGGGTGTCAGGGTTAGTGTTCAATAATTCTGCTTTGCAAGCCGTATGGTGCACCTCTTCTCCTAAGCTCAACCGCAATCTTGGGTATGGTCCAAGAACATTGAGACCCTGGGCTTGCTGTCTCTATTTTCTCAGCTGGTTTGCATGGTCTGGCTGGGCTAAAGATTCTGGCAAGGATGCTAGGTAAGGAGATATCCTCGGCTATGTCAGAAGAGTGTAAAATTCTGGAACATGAATACACACGAGTTAGGAGTAATGATTCTTTAAGGAGAAGAGTATTATCTGATGTGTATTTGGCTCGTCTGTAGAGGGTGAGATACCTACATTATGTTAAGAAGGATGGAGGTGACCGTTTGGGTGTCGGTTGGTGACAAGTGATCGTCTTGGGATTTACATGTGATGGAGGAAGGAGGAATAGTATCCACCTGTGAGGACAGAATAAGCGGAGTGGCATGAAACGTAGTTTAACTATGATACGATGAGAGGAGGCCATTGCCTCAGTGAAGTATCCTGGATGGACCTATGCAAGGGAGAGAGGCATGACATTGATCTGTTATTAAATGGTCCCACAGTGGTGGCCCTTATACCTGTTGGTCTGTCAGGTATGTGGTCTGACTGGGGGTGCGTAATAATGGAAAAATACTTACTTTTGGCTGGCATGGTTGTGCGTGTTCTATGGCCTAAAGGTTGGCTATGACAGTCCTGGCTGGAATGGTACGGCAATCAAAGTTACCTGGTGTAACGGCACCCCCAGGCATAAAAGGGGTTCACAGCCGTTTAATAGATCTTCCCCTTCCAGAGACACAGGCACAGCTACTGTAGACACCAATCCACCAACCAGAGAAGCATATTAATGCTGTAAACAACCGAACTGGAACCATATGAATGCTGTAAACAGCCGAATAGGAAAAACCATACGAAAAGTTTACACTCCTAGCAGTCGAACTGGAACAGCATACAATAAATCTCCCCCATGATCGAGACAAAGCTCTGTGTTGAGGGTCAAGCAGTGAACAGACAGAGCTATGGGTTTATTGTTCTTATGTACACATTCTTACACATTAGTACCACCCACAGGGTTTTGGAAAACAACCAATAAACATGTACAATACACTCAGACACTCCCACACAAAATCTTCCCCTCTGCCTGTGATACAATTACCTTACGCAATGGGTAATGTAATTATCACAGCTAGAGAAATACAGTTTTTCCACATTATTCATAACTTTAAAAGTATGCATCACATTCACATAAAACTTACATTTTCAGCATACTCCAAATACAAACATATGTCAAAATCATCCAAATTGGTCCAGTGGTTCAAAAGATAGATTCCAAAGGAATCATGGCTTTTCTGCCCAAAACCAGTTCCATAGAGTCTTCTATCCTGGAGATAAATGGGAAGTAATCCAATTAACTCCAAGGACAGAGGCAAAACTCCATTAAGCACATGGCAGTAAAAAGACAGTAAAATACAATAAAATACACACGGTTAAATTTATGACATAAAATACAGACATGCAACATATGCCCAGATAGCTTAGGTCTGAGCGCGCATTAATACTGAATGGCGCTCAGACCACACACACATACAGTTCAATTGCCATGGAGCCAAAGTCTTTTATTACACGAATAGGCTCCATGGCATAGCTATCTGGGTTATATGAGTTCATTCAGTAAATCCGAGAATCTACCGAACGCCAGGGCAGAAAACATGAATAGACCTTTCTGCATAGGAAAATAAAGTATTTAATTGCTGGTCCATAGTCAAAAGGCAGCAGGCAGGCAACCAGGCTCCTCCAATGCACAGTGGCGAGATTGGTTTTGGAGACATAGAATTAGGTAAAGTCAATATGTGCTGGTACAGGTACATGTGAAAATTACAGCATGGGAAATATATTGCCTGTATTTTAGATGACAGGTTGCAGTGGAGCCGATGTTCGTGGACTATGGAGTAAGACAGGAGGCCTAGGTAATGTTGATGGTGAGTATTAAAAACAAAATAATTTATTTTATTTATTTATTTATTTTTGTGCGGCCCATACTTACTGTGGGGAGATGTTCAACGAAAGTAGCAAGCATAGATTCGGTAGTGCCTAGCTGAAATATATATGAGGAATAGAATGAGCGAGTTTGTAGGATATCGTATGATGATGATCCCTCGTGTTACTGCCTTGCAGATGTGTGGTCCCTTAAGTGTGATAAGGATCCCCCTTCCTTCATATTACTGCCTCGCAGGTGTGTGGCCCCTTAAATGGTAAAATCACCCCTCCCTCCCACCTAAAGCCAGGTATTTATCTAGGTATGGTTAGGGGTTAAATTGAGCACCTTGGACCTTAATGGATGACTGTGAGGATGATGGGAGTTGTAGTTGTTGTGAATGGTCGTCTGTGTGATGACATAGCGCAAGCATGCGTGTTCATCACTGATACTACAGCGGTACCTCTGAGTATGAGTGGTGATAGAGCAAGAGGTAAGATGACCGTGATGCCGGTATGACTGGCTTTTATCCGGGGGGATGTGTCGCTGTTATGCCTAAACCACCCACCCCCCCCCCCCCGACTGGTGATTGGCGGGCCGCGAAAACCAGAAGAAATGTGGCTGGTAAAAGGTGATGTGCCTCGGTGGGGGGAGCGGTGCTCACGTGGCCAGGTAGTACTCGTAGTCCGGCGTGAGCTGATCTGAATGCAGGCTGGACGCAGGTGGGTATGGGTGCCCTCCGAGCGTCAAGGCTGACGTTGGCTGCGTGTAAAGGGTAGTCCTTCTTGATGAAGGGGAAACTGCCGGACCGGAACCGACAGTAGACGCAAAAGAGTCTGGGTCGATGTTGGCCCTGATTAGTGGTAAGTTTGTTTATTAGTGTAAGTTTTATTTTATCAAGTTTTAGGCGCATCCTTATATCTCTGTTTGTTCTTGCTATGTGTTTAAATAGGCCGGTTAACCCCTCCCACAACTACAGTCTCTGCCTTAACACACACACACATATATATATATATATATATAAAAACGAAGAAAGATCCAGGATGCACTCACAGGTCTTTGTCAAAATATAATGTGGTTTATTTAAATAATATGCATACAGCAAGTTTATTTTTGCTGTATGCATATTATTTAAATAAACCACATTATATTTTGACAAAGACCTGTGAGTGCATCCTGGATCTTTCTTCGTTTATATACTATGGATTGCACCCAGGCAGGTTAATTGTTATTCTGGTAAGGAGAATGCCAAGCCATCTGTTTATTTTTTATATATATATATATATATATATATATATATATTAGAAATTAATATCAGTGCACTCTGAGGTCATAAGAAAATGTTAAAGTTAATGCTTTTTTATTCAGCCCAATTGAACATCGACGTTTCAGTCCCAATGGACTTTTATCAAGACAAAAGTCCGTTGGGACTGAAAAAAAAAAGCATCAACCTTAACATTTTCTTCACACCTCAGAGTGCACTCGTCTTCATTTCTGTATAGTGGCTGGAGTTGGCACCAGGGCAAATTTACTACCAAAGAACTTGAGTACTGGCATCGTGGATTTATATATTGTGACAAAAGTACTCCTTTCCCTTGGTACCTTGTCCTGGGATTGGGGTGTTACACACAGTCTTTTCAGGCTTTAGAGACACTTCACACGCTGGATGAGGTAAACTGACTTGCTCTTTTATTGAGGTTCCAAAATAAATGCACAGTAAGGTATAAAGGTAACAAAAATATATCAAACAAAAGCCTTGCTCTTCTGAGCACTAACTAAACAAAATAATCAGCTAACTGGGTTGGATGGCTTGTCCATTTCCCAACATAAACATAAACATAAACATAAACATAAACATAAACATAAACATAAACATAAACAGCCTTACTGCTTCAGGGTTTTCAGCTCTCTGTTTCCACTCACAGAAACCAAACACAATCTCCCTTCTTCCTTGGCAGGGGAGTACTTAATAGCACTGGTAATTGACAATCCTTTTCAGGTGAGTTAGATTAGGATTCAAACTCCAGAACTGGACTTCTCACCAAGCAACTTCCAAAATGTGGAGTGGAGCACTGGCCCACCCTACTCTCCAGGTGCTCCACCCCAGGGCCCAAATATACACATATTTAAAGTGCAACATTCATTAGAACATAACACATTTACCTGGGGCTAATTACACAAAGTAAGAACCTTGCAAAATCTGGGGAGGTATATAGGTTCCTTCCAGCACAATTCCTTGCTTTCTGTCACAATATATATATATGTATTAAGGCCTGTAATTGTGGGAGGGGCTTATTATACACTTACCTATTTAAGGAACACCCCTTACCTGGCTCCATACCGTTCGAGGTCAGCGTTTGAATGAGATCCACTTCTGGGTTCATCCAGACGCCATTTTGACAGTACCTGTGCTCCACGAGGTCTTCTACTTCAGCTGTTTTCAGGATTCAAGCCGTAAGGTTTTCTGGTCAAACAGCTTTCCAGCAACGCAGATTGAGTCCTAATACTCACCAAACCAAAAGTTGATCCACCCGTCCACAGCGCCCTCACGGGTTGGTTCCTCATGTTTCACTTGCTGCCGACACTTTGCAGTGTCCGTTCCTTTGCTACCATCATTACATGGTCCATTCGTTTCCTTCACTTGTCATGCATTCAAACTCCCGAACGCGAACTCCTTACCACGGTTATTTGTCCACACAGTTTCCATTCGTGCACTAAGTCGCACGAACGGAGGTTTCAACATAACCCCAATACTGACCTCTACAGGTCAACCATCATATAGCAGCATAATATACATTAGGAATTATTGAGATTTCTTGCTTATTTCAAGTATCTGTGCTATAGGCAAGAGGTACTATTGGTGGAGATTTACAGCTTGTAGAGTTATTCTTAAAGTCTGATACTTACCTTTACTGTTTCATGCAAAACCATTAGTTTTTCACCATGTTCTAACGTATTCCACTTGTTCTTGCTCATTCTCTTGATTCACCAAAACTCCCGAGTGGGCACACTGTTCGTCATACCAAGCTATTATGTTTGTGCACATAGTACTACACAAACGGCAGTTCAAGAACACGCTCGCTACTGACCTCTCTTTACAGGTAGCCCCCTCATCTCAGATAGCACATACAATTGTATTTATTGGATTTTGCCGACCACTCATGTTCACGTACTGCCACACACTCCCGAAAGGGAGATAGTCTAATTTAATCATGCGGCACATTGTTTCAGCTACTGATGGTACGAATTCATACAGCTTAAACATACCTACAAATACTGGCCCCTACCAATCAAATAACATACAGCATGTTTCAAAATGTATTATAAGGATATTATCTGTTACACACTTTGTGTTTGACTTCACTTTTCATGCATTGTCGTCTCCCTGTATAGGTTTAAAACACATATACTACATAGTTTCATATAACTTTCCCTGCTTATAATATAATCAGTCTCCCTATGAGAAGGGGGAATTAGAAGCATACAAGTGACTTATTTGATAGAGCGCTTTGCTCTATAACTTGTACATGCTGCACATATTAGGATAAGCTTGGTATATGTCTATATCTATTATTTCATACATTGTTTTATCTGTTCAGGTTACAGGTGTAACGGATCACCTGGCACCCCGACTGGGTACCTCTGTTAAAGGATGCTCCTAGCGCTTCCTGAGGACTCCAAGCACTGCAGCAGACACCACAACCACCGAACCGGAGAAGCATATGAATCCTCTCAAGCATATGAATGCTGTAGACAGCTGAATAGGAACCATACGAATAGGTTTACTCTCCTAGCAGTCAAACTGGAACAGCATACAATAAATCCTTCCCCCAATAATGAGACGACACTTCACTTTGAGGGTTAAAACAGGAACTCCCTGTACTGTCACATACAGTCTCTTTTATTCCCAATCCCCAAACATAGTACAGCCCACAGGGCGTTACAAAACAACCAATCAATCCGTACAATACACCCAGACACTCCCACACAAAATCCTCCCCTCTGCAGGTGATATGATTACTGAACACAATGGGTAATCTCATTATCACCGGCAGAGGAATACAGTTTTTACACAATATTTATAACTTCTAAAATATACATGTCACAAACATAAAACATACATTTTCATAATCAATCCATTCAGGGCAACAACATATTAAAAAATGGCACGAATCAGACCAGGGGTTCAAAAGTTAAGGGAAAGTCCTTTGTGACTAAATGAAGCATGGCTTTCTGGCCCAAACCAGTTTCAGAGTCTTCTATCCTGGAGATAAGTAATTCAATTATCTCCCAGGACAGACACAAGACTCCATTAAGCACATGGTTGCAAAAAGACACAAAACACTTTAAAATACATAAAGTAACCTTTTCACATAACACACAGACATTTCACATATCCCCAGATAGCTGGGATCTGAGCGCACAAAACTACTGAAGAGCGCTCAGATCCTATTCACACAGTTCAATTGCTATGGAGCCGAAGTCTTTAACTACACAAATGGGCTCCATGGCATAGCTATCTGGGTTAACACATTCTCATAAAGTCTGGTCCATAGTCCAAAGGCAAGAGGCGGGCAAGCAGCCCCCTCCAAGGACACGTGGCGAGGCCGGTTTCGCCACATTTCTCCCCTTTACCATCCAGACTAACAGGGTATCTGACCTCCTGCCGGTCAGTGCCCTGGTTAGTCCAGCAACCCACCCACGAAGCACAAACAGCAATACAGCCCACCCACAATAACTGGTTACTACACCTGGATAAAATAGCAACTTGTCCATGTCCAGGTGCCTCACCACGGCTGTGCGGGGGGCTGGTAGACTGCCTTGGTGGGTTGCTGAGTGGGCAGAGACCAGCGGTACTCTGCCCGGGTGCCAGCGCTACCACTGAAGTAGCCTGGTTGGAGCCTGGTTGTGGGAGGGGGAGACCGACTGTCTCCCCTCTGGATACACTGCTCTGTGGCTGGGAGACAGGACCGACCGTCCCTACCCCTGGTGCTGCAAGTGCAGAGACTACAGTCCCATCTGCATAGTTGTGGGGCTTAACATCTCCCCTTGGTGGGTTAGGCTGCCGCTGGAGAGAGGGTGTAACAAGCTCCTCTCTCTGAACTGTAGACTGCCGCTGGGGAGAGGGGGTAACCTGCTCCTCTCCCTGACACTCTCTTTGCTGGTGGAGAGGGGGACCAACTGTCTCCCCTTTCAATATTTTGTCCTGCGGCTGGGGTGCGAGACAGACGGTCTCTGCTTCCTGGGGTACACACTGCCGCTGGGGAGGAAGGACGGCACCTTCTGCTCCCTGGGGTACACACTGCCGCTGGAGATCTGGGCCGGCCGCCCAGCATCCCTGTAGGGCCGGTAGAGAGACCGCCGTCCCATCTCCACCTGCCATCTGTGGGTCTTCCCAGGACCAGTCTGTGAGGTCCCTCAACATTTGTGAGTAAGGACCACCTGCTTCCGCACCTGGCAACTCCGGCTGCTGCTGGGGATCTGGGCCAGTCCCATCTCCACCTGCCTGTTGTGGTTCCTCACAGGACCAGTCTATGAGGACCCCTACTTCGGGTTCCTGTGGCCGCCTCAGGGGGAGACGGCTAGCCTCCTCGGATGCAGCCTCTACTCGGCTGCTGTAACACTCCTTCCGCTGAGCATACTCTCTCTCTTTCGCCAGCCGGAATTCTCGGGCCAGCCTTGTGTTTCGCTCGGCCGTGACCTGGTTCCAGATCACCCGGCGTACCTCCATGGGTAAATCATCCCCATACTGGGCCACTCGCTGCCTCACCTCGGCCATCCAATCATCGCCAGAGCCTTCCATACTTGTCTGCTCCAAGTCGCTGGATACCTCTGCTCCCAGGGTCGCTGCACGTGTGCTAGCGTTGCCCTCAATTTGTAACTCCAAACGAACTGTGTCTCTGAGCTGCTTTACCTCGCACTAGGACGCCATCCCACCGCTTGCCACCAATGTAACGGATCGCCTGGCACCCCGACTGGGTACCTCCGTTGAAGGATGCTCCTAGCGCTTCCTGAGGACTCCAAGCACTGCAGCAGACACCAAAACCACTGAACCGTAGGAGCATATGAATGCTCTCAAGCATATGAATGCTGTAGACAGTTGAATAGGAACCATACGAATAGGTTTACTCTCCTAGCAGTCAAACTGGAACAGCATACAATAAATCCTTCCCCCAATAATGAGACGACACTTCACTTTGAGGGTTAAAACAGGAACTCCCTGTACTGTCACATACAGTCTCTTTTATTCCCAATCCACAAACATAGTACAGCCCACAGGGCGTTACAAAACAACCAATCAATCCGTACAATACACCCAGACACTCCCACACAAAATCCTCCCCTCTGCAGGTGATATGATTACTGAACACAATGGGTAATCTCATTATCACCGGCAGAGGAATACAGTTTTTACACAATATTTCTAACTTCTAAGATATACATGTCACAAACATAAAACATACATTTTCATAATCAATCCATTCAGGGGAACAACATATTAAAAAATGGCACGAATCAGACCAGGGGTTCAAAAGTTAAGGGAAAGTCCTTTGTGACTAAATGAAGCATGGCTTTCTGGCCCAAACCAGTTTCAGAGTCTTCTATCCTGGAGAGTAATTCAATTATCTCCCAGGATAGACACAAGACTCCATTAAGCACATGGTTGCAAAAAGACACAAAACACTTTAAAATACATAAAGTCACATTTACACATAACACACAGACATTTCACATATCCCCAGATAGCTGGGATCTGAGTGCACATTATTAGATGAATGGCACTCAGATCACACAAATAAGCCTTTCTGCAGGGGAAATAAACGGTTTAACCTGCAGGGCCATAGTCCAAAGGGAGCAGGCGAGCAACCAGGCTTCTCCAGTTCACAGTGGCGAGGTTGGTTTCGCCACAACAGGTACTACTAAAAAACCTATTCGGATTAACAGGTCATAAACTAAACATACCAGGTATGTACACCTGCTCACGTGGTATATATATATTTCATTTTCCCCAGGAATGGCAATTAGGGACTGTGAGGGTCCAACAGGTATTTTGGACCCTCTGTGAGGATCCAACACCCCGCCTCATACTCGGAGGCATACACCCATCGGGCCACTCATTAGCTAGCCGCCTCACATAGTAACATAGAGAGGGCCTCACGTGTCACTCCCTTTCCTATTTTTCTGGTTACAGTCACCGAGAGGCCGACATCCAGCCACCACATTCGGTGGCCTCAAAAAATCCCC